ATATATATATATATATATAAATTATAAGCAGCTGAAAAAAAATCACAATGTTATATTTTTGTACTTTTGCGCCGTGAATACATCTAACTTGACAAGTTTGGACACCGCTGAATTAGATCAAGCATGTTCATTACTGGCCTAGTCAAAGTACAGACGGACTCATTCTAATTGAGGATCTATGGATAGACATATAAACTGTCCACAGGTATAGTCTGACGATGAGTAATATTGGAAATACGCATATCAAATTTGTCCGGAACGCATCACGAAATCTATTATTTTACTGACACAATGTGTAACAAATAGTCCAAGATGCAAACTCTGCTTGACTGCTACTTAGCTGCTTCAGAATCTATCACATAAACTCTACCCATCCTCCTCCATCACAGAGACGCTCACTGTGCGCACACAGACCACCCTCCCACTCCGCCTCCGTCTCTGGACTTGTGCGTAAAGAGGGTTTGGCACAAGACGCCGCAGCGCGTAAACAAAAGCACATTGTCAGCGCCGCTGCTGCCCAGTCTGCCCAGATGAAGTGAGCGGTCATTCCCACTGGTCTGAACAGACAGCGGACTTCACTCGGATTAGATTCTTTTTATGATTCGGAAGCCTCGCGTGGACAAGAGCACATTCGACCCTTTAATAGCCAATTTAGCCGAAACGTTTTCATTTAAAGGTTACAAACAGACTTTTGTTCTTCCTTCAAGCTGGAGAATCAAGAAAGGAATTAAATATTTTGGAAAACGGGACTTAAAGGTAAATTCTCGCCTAATGTCTTCCATTTTTAAGTTGCTTGGTCGTTTCAAGCATTTTGAAATCAACAAAAATATAGTAAAATTAGCCGAAGATGAATTAGTTCACACACCTTGTCAGGTTTACGCTCGGTAAAGTTGAACGTGTGTGTTTTTCAGGGGTCATGCCGTGCGTCCAGACCCAGTGCAGCTCCTCGCCGCAAGGCGCCAGCCCCGCGTCTCAGAGCGCCAGCGCGGAGTGCAGCTGCGACTTCCTCACGCCGGAGTTTGTTAAGTTCAGCATGGACCTGACGAACAGCGAGCTCTCGGCTGCCTCATCCGGACCCGGTTTCGGCAACTCCGCGGACGGCTACGGCGCCGGCTATGACGCGAAGCCGCCGTGCGTCTTCCAGATGCCCGCGGTCCAGGCAGAGCTGCCGTGCGTCAAAGTGGAGGATGCGCACGGATGTCCGCGCTATCAGAACCCCCTGCACTCCTCGGATGACTTGCTCTCCTCCCAGAGCTCCGTGTATTACTACCGCGCCCCCTCGCCGCACGGCTTCCACCCGCCACATGGACACATCTGGGAGGATTCCGGCTCTCTGTACAAAAACGCGCTTTCCAGGTTTTCCCTGTTTTCTCTGAAGCACACGCCGCACGGTACCCAGAGCTTCCCCACCTGCCAGGTGAAATTTGACGTCTCCATGAACTTGGACGCGGGCGGATGCGGGTCGCACCACCACCAACAAGGGAAAGCCCTCGGAATGGGCTTCCCTCGCCCCCTCCAGTTCTCCCACAGCCACCACTTTATGGAATACCAGAGCTCTGCCGGAGCCGCGCGAGGAGCGCTGAGCTCGGAGGGGCTGTGCGCGGTGTGCGGGGACAACGCAGCCTGTCAACACTATGGAGTCCGCACCTGCGAGGGCTGCAAGGGCTTCTTCAAGGTCTATGGACTTCCAATCTTGAATTATTATTTCTATTATTATTTTAGCAAAATGTAGTTTTATTCAAGCAAAGTTAAAAAATTCCCAGAAATGATTATGCTGTTGATTTGAAATAATTGAAAAAAAAGAAAGAAAAATACCCAGAGGACTTCTTAAATTCCATTTGAAATTGGATATTATTTTCCAGATGCTTCTGACAGATGATACATTCTGTATGAAAGTGGTGCCAACGTGCCATGAATTGCAAAGTGCAACCCCCCCACTCCCTATTTCATCTGCTAGAAACATAATCCCAGGGCGATTCTCAAAATTATGAATGACCACGACCTGGTGTTTACCCAGACTGCCCCTGTCTGCCTGTTGAATCTATTTTCCATCACCTCAGACGGCCCAAAGGAGCAAAAAGGTCCTGCTGATGAGTTCCAAAGGGCAGCTTAGACCTTTTGTACGTTCACGTTCATGCTCGTGCAATTTGGGTTCAGAAATGAAACATTCTGTTTCCAAAAAAAATGCACCACATTCAGTCAGTAAAGGTGTTCACAGCACCGCATTGTCACCTTCCTAAAATAATGGCCCAAGGCATTGTTTTGCCAAAAGTGATTTTGGCAACAACAAAAAAATAAATAAATCAAAAATCAAAATCACTCTCTTTGGAAGGTGTCGATTTCCAAGTCTATGCTTGGGGTTTGGTAGACTTGTGCCTTGAGAGTATGAAAGAACTTTCTGTCTCATGTTATTTATCTGTTTCCTTTTTTTATTGGTCCAGCGAACAGTGCAAAAAAATGCCAAATATGTGTGCCTGGCTGCAAAAAGCTGCCCTGTGGACAAGCGACGGAGGAACCGATGCCAGTATTGTCGCTTCCAGAAATGCCTGGCGGTGGGAATGGTCAAAGAAGGTATTTCCATGGCAACAGAATTCCTACTCCAGTCCTCAAATGACACCGTCCCACAAACATTTTAGAGGTATCCCCGTCTAAATGACCTCTTCAGCCTATTGAGTTCAGTGAGGTCTGATTATTAGCCATTTCTAAGATTCAGCTCTGTTGGACTGGGGATTCATCTAAAAGTTGCAAGACAGTGAAGCTTTGTGACTGGAATTGGAGACCACTGTAAGAATCTGCAACTTAAAAATGTTATAAATTACTTTTTTTTTTTCTACAGTGGTGAGGACAGACGGTCTTAAAGGCAGAAGAGGTCGTCTGCCATCCAAACCTCGAGCTTTGCCAGACACGTTTTTACATGGCAGCACCCTTCTGAGTGCTGTGGTTAGGGCACATATAGAGTCAAATCCTCCAGCATCTCGCCTGGACTACTCCAAAGTAAGTTGCTCCTCACCAACCAGTCTTAATGTCTCGCGTTGTCAATTAACCGCATAATAAAGTTGCAGTTGTTGTTCCTTCTGACCCACAAGTTCAAGGAGAGTCCAGAGGACCTACTGGGTGACGATGCTCAACACGTCCGACAGTTCTACGACCTCTTGATGAGATCGATGGAAGTCATTCGGAGTTGGGCGCAGAGGACCCCAGGTTTTGCCACCCTACCTAAACACGACCAAGACCTCCTCTTCTATTCAGCCTTCCTGGAGCTGTTCGTCTTGCGGCTGTCGTACAGGTAACAAATACACACTTTTAAAACCCTAAGCTGGTTTCCATGTTGCCTTCGATTTGAGTCTATGTCCCTGATTTGAAGTGTTTGCCCAACAACTGGAAGGACGGGCCTAATTGTGCAACAGCCCGGCATGGTTTGCATTCACAAACACGATTTCCTGTCATTTCAGATCCAACCCAGAGGAGGGGAAGCTGATCTTCTGTGATGGGTCGGTGTGGCATCGGCTACAGTGCCTCCGAGGCTTCGGGGAGTGGATTGACAGCATTGTTGAGTTCTCCGCCAACCTGCAGAGGATGAACCTGGATGTTTCCACCTTCTCCTGCATCTGTACCCTGGCTTTACTCACTGGTGGGCAAACAGTTTGTGCACATTCAGTTGCTTCAATCTATCAGTCTTTTTTTTTTAGTAGTGATTTGATCCTTTTTAAAGTATGTTTTGTTTGAAATGTTCAGGCACAAGATGGTACCTGTGGGTCAATTTCACCCCGGTATAAAGATGAGTGATTAATAGCCAGAAAATAAGATTTCCAGTAGCATGATTAGCCGAGTAGTATGAAAAATCAACAGCAAGTTATCACCTTATCTTACAGATATATTGATTCAACATGTAATATAGAGATACAAACATGTATGGGATTATTCCTTTAGGCAAGGCTGGATAAACAATTCAGGAAAAGGGTTGGTAAAGTCATTAAATTGTTGAAGGGTTTGTTATCATTCAATGGAAACCCATCAACCTGAATCCTTCAGGTTGATGGGTTTTAGTAATAATGGGGGTTAAACTGGTTAAATAAATAGCTAAAAGTAAACTTAAAACCATTTGACTAAAAGGAAAAACTGATGTTTTTGCAAACACTTTAAATCAACTAAAAGAAATATAATAGCAACAGAAAAAAACATAATAGATTGATTCAAACCTGAAACTTGATTTTGTTTTCAGTATTAAGTATTATTGTTCATGTCCAGAATACATAGCCTACTTAGCTTTATATAGACAAAAAAAAATCTAACATGGTAAAAAGGGTAGAAAGTATTTTAATTATTATATTTTAATTATCTGGATATTTGGAGTGAATTATAAATTCTCAGTTAAAAGTTTGAATAACTTAATGGTTGTGAATATGGATAATGAATAGTAAAAGGGCAGAAAATTAGATGTAAATAAAAAAAAAACATATTTAGGCTTAAAATATCAAAACATTTATCAATAAAACTACCACATTTCTCAGTGATGCATCCTATCAAGAATAACACTTGTCACGAACCCAAAGGAGAAGTTAAAATAAAATGAATGACATTTGACATTAATGTTTACTTCAGATAAATTAGAATGAAGATCAAATTGGTTAATGTGGGATGACATCAATAGTGAGTAGATATCAGTGATTTTTACAATTTGAAAATGCCTAAATATGGCTAGTGTATGCATACTTTTATTAAAAATTTGATCAAAATATACACATATACGATATGTGCGAAGATGTTAAGTTAAGAAGTTACTTAACAAATTAAATCATCCTTAGCGTAGTGAAAATATGGTTAGCTTAAACAAGATTTGTTGCTATTATAAACAAGACACTTGTTTATAATAGCAACATAGAAGGTTGAGGAACTCAGGTTAAAGGATAAGGGCTTTCTGAGTCTTTAAAACAGTTTATTTTCGATGAACCATTACAATTGTTAGCTAAAATGAAACCAATGACGTAGCCCACCTTGCGTTTACAAATACGGCTTTTTCAGGTGTCAAAAATCACTGAAAATTCTAGCAAATGAGTAGAATTATATTCTTGTAGCATATGTTTCCAGAAAAAATAATTTTAATATTTTCTCAGCAGTCTACAAAATAATTACAGATCTCCTTGTGTTTATTGCTAATGCTAAATATGAAACACTCAGAGCGCCACGGGCTGAAGGAGCCAAAGCAGGTCGAGGAGCTGCAGAACAACGTGGTCAGGTGCTTAAAAGACAACGAAGCCGCCAGTCCAGACGGAGGCGGCCCGAACCGCTGGTCCAACCACCTGTCCAAACTTCTGGAGAAACTGCCAGAACTTCGCACTTTGTGCATCCAAGGCCTGCAGAGGATTTTCTACCTGAAGCTGGAGGACCTGGTGCCGCCGCCTGCTGTGATAGATAAGTTATTCCTGGACACGCTACCATTTTAGACCTTTTTTTTTTTTCTTTTCCTTTTAAAAAAAAAAAAAAAAAAAATAAAGGCCTTTGACTTCTTCCTTCCGAAATCATCAGTGATCCCTGGCAGTCGGAAGTCTTTGCTTAGCATGAATATGGTTTAAGAATTTCATTTCAACTTGCTGGGTGAGTATTTGGGCCAAACAATTTGCACAAAGCTGATGAGTTTTGGCCGCAGGAAATTTGCAACTCTTCATACAGTAATTGTAAAGTGAGCACATCTACATGTGTGAACACATTTTCCTGCCTGTTCAGCTTGTATAAAAGCATTTTGATACAAAACAAAAGCTTCTTTTTTCATGCTTCTATTTATTAGTGAATTGTTAAGTAATATTAGATACAAAATGGTTCGCTATGTTCAGTCTGTCAGTCGTCTCCATGATTTAATAAAAGACAAAGATCACATTATGGGTTTCTTCTGATTGACCTACTTTTATTCAAACCTCAGTGTATTTTATTGAGATTTCACATGAGTGGAGCATAAATGTAAAGTGGGAGATAAACAATAATGTTTTTTAAAATAACAAGCGTCATACTGTAGGAAGATTTAAAAAAAAATGTTCACTGCAAAACAGCTTGGCTAGAGTTTTTAAATCCTGCCACATATTCTCAACTGGATTTACGCCTGGACTTTGATTAGGCCATTTTAAAGCATGAAAATATTGTGATCTAAACTGTTCCAATGGAACTGTGGCTGTTTTTCCAGGTTCCGAGACTTTCTAAGCCTCTAACAAGTTTTGCTTACAGCCCTTTATCTAACTCCATCCATCCTACATGTTCCAGCATGATGCTGCCACTACCACAATTAACTGTGTGGGCATATTCAGTGTAACGTTCAGTGTCAAATTTTCTTCCATATTGAACTTCCCAGACAAAGTATAAAATAGACTTGTATGTCAAATGAAAATTTTGAAATCACAAAATACATACAGAGGCAATTTTCAGATAATATTTTTAAGTCGTCATTTTTGTAGGGTGCATATGGGCATTTGCTCAGGGTGGTATTAGTAAGGGGATGCAAAAATATAAAGCAAAAAGAAAAAATTACTCTGAACAAGTTTTCTGTTGCTTTACTATATGTGCAGTCAATACAGAATTGCCCCTCCCCCCATTGTTTTGTGTGGGTACTTTAAATCTACAGCATTTTAAAATGATTTTCAGTTGACAGGAACGACTACTGTGCACAGAAATTAAAAGATTACACAATAAGGAAAATCAAATCTATTTTTTAAATGTGTTTGCATTCTTTTTTGTTTCTATATATGAAAAGAAAAAAGCTAAAGACATATGAATAGCCACATGCGTCCTCAAAGCATGGATTTTTCTTTACTCCATAACGTGTTTTTAGAGCCGTCGGCTGGCTGACCTTTCTGCAGCCCCGTGGTCAGATGTGACATTAAAGACATCAGTTTCTGCTGCCGTCCTCAGAGATAAAGTCCCCGAATTTGGCAATGAGACGAAAACCAACGCAGGCGAAACTAATCGTTTCATCCGCTGCTGATCTGTCTCTTCAAAAATGGGAAAACAAAAACTTTAATAAAAAATAAAAATAGAAATACTCAAACATCAACCTAAACTTGTTGTGATGTAGATCTGCAGATTAGAAATAATCTATCTCTGTTGTCTTCTCTGCCTGGGGGGGAAAAAAAAGTCTGATGCTCCTATGAAGGTTTTAAGAGATCAATATTCTATTCAGTACCAATTCGGTGCGTAGAGATGGAAATGAATCAATAACTTTACCTGGGATACGTCCAATTTATCTTGGTGATGATGGGGTGAATTTTAACATTGGATGTTTAAAGACATTTAGTCTGCAACAAAACACATGTATTCCTCTACAACGCCACAAATATACACCGATTCTCATAGGAGTGTGAGAGGCAGTGATGGAACTCCCGATTAGGGAACCTCTATACTTTTAGAGCTCTGCTCAAGTTTCTGAATGAAAGTACTCTTCAGTTTCAGGAACTGAAAGAAGTTTTTGTCTCAGTGTTTCTTACAAACTGTATTAAACCATGAAGTGAATGTTGCCGCTGGGAGTTTCTTTCACTCAAAGTATCACTTACAAGCATTTGCTTTAAAGACGGCAAAATGAAACACCTTGCTGGGGGAAGTACACTTAGTAGATTGTAGAAAGTATGGTTAAGGATTTGTATATTCTATTTGTTTTTTTTTTTTCTTATTTTATGAAGTCACTTCTTGAATGTTAACACAATCCATTTATGACCTCCCTGTAATTACTGTAATTATATACAAAAAAAATGCTCACCAGCTCATTTGCTTTAAAGAACTATCCGACCTCCTGTATCGAGGTCTGAAACTGCCAAAAAGAAGGAAAAAATGTAAATACCAAATCTTGATTTAAAAAAAAAAAAATCCATGTTTTTTAAAAAAAATCTTGTAATAATTTATTCCTATCTGTGTTGAATTTAAAAATTATTTGACACTGTTTTTTGTAAGTCCACATTTAAATACAGTCCATCTGGAAAATGTTTACAATATTTTATTCCAAATTGGACAAAATTAATCTCTTTCCTCAAAATTGTACACACCCATACACCATTATGAGGATGTGGGGGGGGGGGAATAATTTCTACATAAATATTCACAGCTTTGCTTAATACTTTAAGTGTTCTGAGCTTGTGGCATTATATTCAAAAAATTGAGGCTGAAATTGCTGCCAAAGATGGATCAAAAAAGCATTCAGTAAAGTCTGTGAATACTTGCGCAAATACAATTGAGCAGTCCTTGTTTTTAATGAATACTTTTGGGATTCACTGTATATCAGGACTCTAAACCACAAACCTGAAGTTTGTGGTTTGGTATCTTTGCCCCACAACAACACGCTCCAGATTCAAAGTCCTGCTCAAGATCGTTAAACGGAGGAAATTGCGAGCGCTTGTTCTGGGGGATCTGGAAAGCCCTGGGGGTTGGCTGTGACCACACAGCAGCATCTCGTATTTGATCTCAAGTGGCCTGCCGTTTGGGTTTTCCCGCAGACTTTGATCTCTGCAGCCGTCCAGCTTCAAGACAGCTTAACCCTTATCGCTTTCAGGCCAGAGCCCACAAGCACTGGGGCCAACCGCTGAGGGATTTATAGGCAGGCTCCGTTTCCCCCCGGATATTTTCATCATGTAATCCATTGTAGATTATTACAGATTAGCTCATTGGACATTTCAGTCGTTGTTTATATGAAAGAAAAATGCCCATTAGGAGAATCTGCATGCTGAGGAAACACAGGCATGATATGCTTTCAACATAATAATAGTGTAAAGGAGACAAATCCGTTATCTTAGAAATCTGGAGAATGACAAATCCTTGTCTATATATTTAAAAAAAAAAGACATTTACAGAATACATATAATGTTGTGTTCCCAACCCTGAACTCTTTGTCCTTTTGTCCTTATTTCACAAAAACGTCACCTAATTTGCTTGTTTCATGTTGAGTTATGAGGGTTATAGATCTTCCTGAATGGGGTCGTCTCTTCCTTATGTAGAGGTTCACATTTGAAGAGTGGATTGATGATGGTGCGCAGGTAATGCAAAGAATTGTGCACAGAGACCCTTTTAATCCTCCGAAGACGTGCTTGACATTTAACACTTCAGCACCTGAATGTCCATAATTTTTTGCAGATTGAGATGGTTTCATTTCCCAAATGAGCCTCTTGACATGTTTTATCCAAAATGCAGAAGTCTTATCAATGTAAGAAAAAAAAGATTTGTTCTGTCACAGATTAAATGTTTCAGATCAAGCACATTTTTATATCAAAGATTATCAGAAAATGTGACTTTCAAACAGATGGCAAAAAATTATTTACATTTTTGTATGTGAAGAAATCCCGACCCACTCTTCTTTGCAGAATTGTTTTCAGTCTGCTTCATTATGGGTGTTTCCTTTAAGGTCAACGTTCAGTCTGATTTAACTAGACATCTTCAAAACCTTCATTTTGTCTTTTGAGCCATTCAGAGATGGACTTTTTGATTTACTTCCGATTGTCCCCATGTGTTAGAGTAGGGGTGTCCAAACTTTTTGTCACTTGGGCCAAAATTGTCAAAGGACTAATGGGTAAGAAAATAAAAGGAACTTAAATCAAGCTGATTTTCTCTTTTTTATTTCTTTGTAACCCTTCCCAAACTGGTAGATTTGGTGTTGGAGCACGATGTGCTGATTTTTAAAATCTTTTAACCTATTTCATGTTGTCACAGGTAATTCCACAGGTTAGGGCTAGGATGGAGCTAGCATCCCATTAAATGTTATTACTTAAAATTAATCATGTTCGAACAATTTGTTTTAATTTGAAACAAAAGTCAGGTTGGTTTGGATAGTTTTCCATCTTAAGTAATGAAATCAATTTTAAAACTATTTTTGTGTCTATTCAGGTAATCGTAGTTTTAAATTAATACTGTGAAATGAACCAAAACTTTATTGTGACATGATTGTAAAAACAAACAAAAAGAATTAAATTTCCGTGTCACTGCATATGCTGTAATTTCTTCTGAATATTTCTGTCATTCCCAAAGATCGACAAGAAGATTTGTATTCAAATCACACATCTGTCATTTGCTCCGTATAATTCTACAAAGCCTCGTAAAAACATAAGCAAGAACAGAAATCCCTTAAACAGTTTCTTTGTTTTGGAAAAGCAATCAGTGGTCTCCTCTTAGCGCCCACTTAGCAACTCTCTTTAAACCGACAGTAAAGGAAATGGATTAGAGCGTCTTATTGTTTCTGCGTGGAAACCTTCAGGGAGTGCTTCATCTGAAATTAACATTCTGTTTTTATAGGACAGACACAAAATAAGGGAGACAAACCTGAACAAAGCATCAATTATTGACTATATCCCTTGAAAGGTGTTTAATGGAGTATCACAAACTAAGAGGAAGTTAAGGGATTTGCTTAGTACAGAATTTGGTCTTGTACTAAATTCTGTAGTAGTTTACAAGTATCTTGGCAACAGGTGGAAAGATGCATCTCACTGCATTTCTATTAACCATAAAATTACACACAATAAAATAAAAATATGCTTAATCAGAATATGTCAATTTTGAAAGAATATATATATATATATATATATATAAAAATATATATATATATATATATATATATATATATATATATATATATATATATATATATATATATATATATATATATCAGTGACGTGCGGTGAGGTTCATAGCTGGTGAGGCACCGATTTAATTATAATCGGATTTATGAATCTAGACCCGCTGCTGTTATTGTTTACGTAAGGAAATTTCGCGCATGCCTACAATGCTGGAGGGTAAAAGGCTATTCCTTTACATGCCATCCATAGCCGCGCCGCCGCCGCAGAATAATTCCGTTATCTCAATTAAACTTAGACATGTAGATATTATTAATTTCGTGTTGTGCTTAACAGCAAAGGGAGAAACATTAAAGTACAACTCAAAACCACGTCTTTCTCGCTCTCTGTATCAGTGCAGCTACTGTATGGCTAGCTTGCTGTTACTGTCTCTTACTCTGCAGTTGTGGAGTCACAGTGTTCATGAGCGCCCCCCAGTGATGAGGCACGAGAACTGCCTGCCTCACCTCGAATCTGTTCTCTGCCGTTTATGATCGCTCCTCAGCACACGAAACACGTTGCACACAGTTGGTGACAATAAAAACACAGTACATTAAAAACATAAGCTAAATTAAGGAAAATCAGTTCATACATTAAAT